GTATTTATCCCGTTCAAAGCAATCCAGATCGTTCTCGAACACTAACGCGCTGGTCCGGCTGGTCGGTTCTAGCCGATTCTAGCTTGATGGCGTCAGCGGCAGATCGCTCACCGCAACGTTGCCGCTGTTTATGTTTAATATTATGACAATTAGATTTTTTTGTGGAATTTTCGGAAGCTTCTCTGATTTTTGCAGTTTGTATTTTTTAAATTAAAATCGTTGTGAGAGCTACCAGAATTGCCTCCGCGAGCTACCGGTAGCTCGCGATCGACAGGTTGGCGACCTCTGGTGTAGACCCACAGCACTTAGCCCACATGTGACCCATTGTACATCCTCCCGAGGAGTTGTCCTCCTAGGTCATCGTCCATTCTGTCCTTTCCAGGAAGATGGACAGATCACTGGGAGACGTCTCCTTTATATTGGCAGGTGTAGGCCAAGACTCGTCGATTACACACTCTCTTTGGCAACCTTGAGGGGTCTCACGGTGGCTTCACGAAGGTTTTGGAAGGTGCAGCGGCATTACAGTCGTTGCGCGGCTTCTTCAACTTTCTTGGGCTTCCCCAAGGGGATCGTTGGTAATCGCATATCACCCTGCGGCCATTCAGCTATCAGCACGTTTCCTTACTCCTTAGCTTGGGTAGGCTGGTCCACGGTGACATGTTTTGCAAAGCCTTTTGGGGGGGTTTTAGTTCCCCTCACCCTGCCACTGACCAGGAGTGCGGTGACTCCGTCCGTAAGGCCACATTGGCTTCCCGGAAGGGCCTCCAGTCCCCAGGCCGTTCCCCTACCCGTCACCTGGGGACGCGCCCGATAGGTAGTCCAACCCACGGGAAGGTACTACTAAATATTCAGTTGAATTCTATAAAGTATGAATCAACTATATTTGTCACCCATATCATTTCTGAAATCGTAAAAAACTTGAAATTGTTCAGGTCCTTCGATTTTTAATTTGAGGGAGGGGAATTTTTCACATACATCTTCGTTGTGTTATCAACTCAGTCACTCCCAGTGGGTAGATAGACAGATTTCGTCAGAGCTGGCACTTCACATACTGGAAAAACTCGGACTTTAAATGAAATATACAGTCCGCTTTTTTAAAGCTGATCCCCTTATTGGTATGTCGGAAACGGTAAGACCTACGATGTAGGTTAATTGGACAAAAGTTTATCATTTGGGAAACTAGAATCATCCCTTCTCATCATCCACGGAGATTTCATAAAAATAAGCGTACTCTCCATAAAGAAAAACATAAATTTCCATACAGTTAGTACCTGCTAACTTTGTCAGATAAATCCAGACATGTTGTTCCTCTCGGTATTCCATTATTGATTTGTTTCAGCTATTAGTCTAGAACCCCACGTTAAATCTCTTCATTTAACTTTGGCGTACCAGTTTCCTTCTTCGCACTACTCCAATCTGAAGTCTCTCGTAGATGAGCTAGATCCAGCTGCCTCTAGCGGATGGGAGTTGAGGTTATACTCCAGAGATCCTAGGGTGAATGGCAAGCAGGTGCACAAGGTAAGCAGCTTATAATTATTATTAAGGAAGAACCTTTTTGTTGAGAAACAATTTCATTATGCGAGAATTTCGAATTTTCGACTTTTAACACAAAATTACGAGAATGAGGTCGAAATTTCTAGATTGCAGTCGAAATTCCGAGATTAAAGTCAAAATTCCGATGGTAAAGTCGAAATTTCGAGATTTAAAGTCGAAATTTCGAATTTTGAGTCCAAATTACGAAAATACAGGCGAAATCCAAGAATCAAGTCGAAATTTCGAGAATAAAAACGAAAAGTTTATGTCAAAATTTCAGGGTTGAAGTTGAAACAGCAATAATAAAGTTGAAATTTCGAGAATAAAGTCTAAATTCCGAGATTAAAAGTCGGAATTTCTAAATTGCAGTCGAAATTCTGAGATTAAAGTCTAAATTCCGATGGTGAAGTCGAAATTTCCATGGAAACGTCAAAATTTCGAGAATTAAGTCCAAATTCCGAGATATAAACTCGAAATTTCGAAAATTAATTCCAAATTCCGAGAATAACGGAGAAATCGCGAGAATAAAGTCGAAATTCCGAGGGTAAAGTTGAAATTTCGAGAATAAAGTCCAAATTTCGAGATATAAAGTCGAAACTTCGAGTTTTGAGTTCAAATTACGAAAATAAATGCCAAATCGCAAGAATAAAGTCGAAATTTCGAGAATAAAAACGAAATTCCAAAGTTTATGTCGAAATTGCTAGAATAAAGTCGAAATTTCAGGGTTGAAGTTGAAACAGCAATAATAAAGTTGAAATTTCGAGAATAAAGTCTAAATTCCGAGATTAAAAGTCGAAATTTCTAGATTGCAGTCGAAATTCTGAGATTAAAGTCGAAATTCCGATGGTAAAGTCGAAATTTCGATGGAAACGTTGAAATTTCGATAATGAAGTCCAATTTCCGAGATTTAAAGTCGAAATTTCGAGAATTGAGTCCAAATTCCGAGAATAACGGCGAAATCGCGAGAATCCAGTCGAAATTTCGAGAATAAAGTCCAAATTTCGAGATTTAAAGTCGAAATTTCGAGAATTGAGTCCAAATTACGAAAATAAAGGCGAAATCGCAAGAATAAAGTCGAAATTTCGATAATAAAAACGAAATTCCAAAGTCGAATTTGAGAGAATAAAGTCGAAATTTCGAGGTTGAAGTCGAAATTGCAATAATGAAAGTCGAAATTTAGAGAATAAAGTCAAAATTCCAAGGTTGAAGTTGAAATTTCGAAAATAAAGTCCAAATTTCAAAAATAAAGGGGATATCGTAAGAATAAAGTCGAAATTTCGAGAATAAAATCTAAATTCCGAGATTCAAAGTCAAAAATTCGAGAATGAAGTCCAAATTCCAAGAAAAAATGCGAGATTGTGAAAATAATGTCGAAGTTTCGAAAATAAAGTCGAAATTCCGAAATTGAAGTGGAAATTTCGAAAATGAAGTTCAAATTCCGAGATTTAAATTCGAAATTTCGAGAATTAAGTTCAAATTCCGAGAATAAAGGCGAAATCGCAAGAATAAAGTCGAAATTTCGAAAATAAAAACAAAATTCCAAGGTTGAAGTCGAAATTTCGAGAATAAAGTTTAAATTCCGAAATTCAAAGTCGAAATTCCGAGATTCAAAGTCAAAATTTCGAGAATAAAGTCCAAATTCCAAGAAAACATGTGAAATTGCGAAAATAATGTCAAAGTTTCAAGAATAAAGTCGAAATTCCAAAGTTGAAGTGGAAATTTCGAAAATGAAGTTCAAATTCCGAGATTTAAAGTCGAAATTTCGAGAATTAAGTTCAAATTCCGAGAATAAAGGCGAAATCGCAAGGATAAAGTCGAAATTTCGAGAATAAAAACAACATTCCAAGGTTTAAATCGAAATTTCGAGAATAAAGGTCTAAATTCCGAGATTCAAAGTCGAAATTCCGAGATTCGAAGTCGAAATTTCGCGAATAAAGTCCAAATTCCAAGTTTCGAAAATGAAATCGAAATTCTGAAGGTAAAGTCAAAATTTCGAGAATGAAGTCGAAATTCCGAGAGTAGAGTTGAAATTTCAAAAAATAAATGGTTTCCCCAATTTTCCTAGTCAGCAAACTGGATTATTCTCTATCACTGTCGCCGTAGTTACAATGGACTGGATTTTCTCCCCTAAAAAACCAACATTCGACGCCTATGGGTCGATATATATGTATCGTCGAGATGGATTCCGTCACAGATCAAATTGCTACTCGACGACTGTCCGTGGTTTATTGTTAGTTTTTAATATGTTTTTGGTCACGTAAATACGTGATCTTATATTAAAATAAACGTTTGAATTTTTCGGAATGAACTCATGTAAATTTGCCGACTAATTATTATACGCTAATTCAGTTTATCTTTGCTCGTGCCCGTATCGGTTTTAGGCTTATAAATTCAGCATAGTGGGAAGAATATCATTAAAGTTTTTCTTTGCAACACTCAAATTTCGAAGTACACCTACAAGTCAGTTGTTCATACTCATCGAGAGGAAAACTTGTTTGTTGAGGAGCTTTTGTTCGGATTCATAATCTGAACAGGTAAATATCATTATTTGTGATATTTTCACTAACGTTGGTATTGAATTCTTTTGTGGATTCCACAATTTATTTATTTCAAGTCAGTGTTGTCCATTAAGTTTGCAACAAATGGGCTTTTTTTTTATTCATTGCACAAACGTAATTTGAAAGTTCGTCAAAAATTCGGGCATGTTCGATAACCATAGTCGATGCGCTTATATTGGTTTTATAGTCCAGTCAAAAAGTTCAAAAACATGAAAAATAGAAATAAAGGTCCTGAAAATATGAGCGATAGCTCATTCGATTCGGAATCACCTCTAGAAAAATGTTTTTGAGGGATTTTGGTGCAGGTAAAAAATTGCAATTGTTATTAACAAAATAAGATTTTCAAAAATATTGAATTTCTCTATTTGTTTAAAACAATTTAATGAACAAATCACGTAAAGAGTTCAAGGTCGAGGACTGACAATTGATTAGGCAGTTGAGTAAGTCTTTAGTTTTTTCACAAGGTATAAAAATGTAAGCTTTCACGGCTGGCGTCAATGTTTTGGTTGGTTTCCAGGTTTTGCCGTGGTCTTTGGTTACAATCTCTAAACGTTTCGACTGCAACTGCGACAGTCATCTTCAGTTGCGTGGTCGAAGTACTCTTCTTGACGTATCAGTATCAGCTGAAAATATAGCTGAAAAAAGTATGGAAAATCAGAACTGAGATAGCTTTTTCAACAATTGCAGGGTATTAAGAACTCCGGCAGAGCGCGCGGAACCCCTGTGGCCCTTTTACGGAACCCCAGGGTTCCGCGAATCCTCATTTAGGAATCTAGAGACTAAGCTATTGAAGGCAACATCATGGTATGCCATGATGAACCCTTCAGTTTTCGACTGCGAGTTTCCAACTCGCTGATATTATCATAATTAATATGCTTATGAATTCTAACGATAATTATTAAAAGCGGTGAAATGAAAAATGTACCTTTATAACCGACTGAAATAATTGGGACTTTCCGATATCGGTTTTTATCAGAAGGTTACTGACGCGTGGATATTTGAATTCCAAATCTGTATTTCATATCTTTCAAGAAATGATAGAAAATGATGAAAATGATAGAACGTAATGAAAAAATACTCGCCCATAATTGAAAAATACTCGCTGGCAACAATAATTCAAAAATACTCCTCCGGCCCAGTTGATGCTGTAACAACTTGACGTGAAGACCAGAACAAAAAAAATGATGCACCTTTCGCATCCTTAATCGTCCGTTCGAAGTTATACATTCCCCGACAACTGGTAGGTTTGAAATTACATTGAAATAAAATACAAGCAATAACCAATAAACAAATTGAACTATTAACACGAGATGAAACTAAAAAATTATTAACATGAAATGAAAAGTAAAAATTAAAAGATTCCAAATCGAGTTACTTCACGACGTTGATTTTTTTTTATTTAAAAGGAAAAACACCGCATCAACCACTAGGGTTATTAGCGGTTACAGTAGGTACATTAAATTTTGTTAGAGATGCCATCATTTTCCAAAAAACTATAAAGGGAAGTAAAGTTCGTAACATTGAATGCATTGGTGAGGTCGTTTGGTAATCCGAAAAATTTTCTTTCTTCATTGAAAGCTGGGCAATCAGAGATGAAATGTTCAACACTCATCGTCACACTGCAGGTATCACAAATGCGAGGCTCTTCATGCTTTAGGAGATGTAGATTGGGTAAGTTTCGTATTTCCAATTCTCAGGCGTGTAAGTAAAACTTGCTGTCTGCGGGTGAGAGCTCGGTAATTTTGAGTGACTAGATTGTTGATTGATTGATTGATTGTTCGGGTGATAAGTGAACTTATTCCTCCTAGAGGAATTCGATTGCTTTCATCTATCCCCTCTTCTCTCTATCCGCTTCATCGGTTTTAGCGGGAGCTGACCGTTTGGCGGGAGTTGGTCGTGTTCCGCTTGATTAGAGGTTTCCATATGTTGCGTATCTCTACGCTAGCTTGGCTACCTGCGTTGTTGGACAACATATATGCGGCTTCTTTGAATTTTCTCCTAAACCAGTGTTTCTCCTTGTGGATGATTTCAGCTTGAGCCCACTTGATGTTATGTTGATGAGTCCAAACATGCTCTGCTATTCCTGATATGCTGGTACAAGTACTGGTTGTAGCGGCTTCTCTTCCTTGTGGAGCTCTTGCTGTCTTCTAGTGTTGGCTGGAAACTGTAAAGTCATCATAAGTTCGGATCCTCACCACTGCATGGCTCGTGACCATGATCGGAGGGATCGGAGCAATTCTCAACAAGGTAGCTCTCTGATTAGCCGAACTTAGTTTAGTACCATAACTCTGTCACCCGTCAGCAAAATACCTACACCGAAGCAGCAGAAATCGCTCTATTCCTGCGGCTTCACAAGAATGGGCCGATGCAAAGGGTTTTCTTCAACGAAATTGAAGACTTCGACTTATCAAAGCACCTGACCTTTGC